CCTTTTATTCCAGAGGGAGAGAGGCAGGAAGTGAGTGTAGGAGAGAACTGCCATTGAGGGCTCTGTGGGCCCCTCCTTCATCCCAGCCTTCAGTCCCCCACTTGACCCTCCACCCTCATGGCAAAGCACGAGCCTCAAAACCAGATCCTTTTGGGAGAAAAGTTGATTAATCTACTGTTTCCTAGATGGCAGCATTTCCACGAGGCTCTCAGGGGCCACGGTGGATGGATGGTGTGAATCTCACCACCACAATTTCCCACATGCCCTAGTACTGGGCAAACCTCACTAGGTGGAAGAGACACCACCACCCGCAGCCCAGCAATGCCTGGATCCCAGCAGTAAGAACCCCCTGCAGCTGGGGCAAAGTGAACTGAGGCTCAGAGCGTCGGAAACAAGAGCCATAGGGCCGCTTCCCTCTGCAGAGGACCAGTTGGAGTGGGGCAGGGCTCTGAGCCGCTCCCCCGACCCCTGGCAGCAGAAAGTGCCGGGAGCCAGGCAGGATGCCGCAGGCCTCCGGACCGAGGACCAAAAGGAAACAAGACAGGAGGGCCGCGCGGGGGAGGGGCGGCTGGAGGCGGGGCGTGGGCGAAGGGAACCGCTAGTCACCCGCGCCGGCCCCCAGGACGCACCGTGAGCCTCCGCTGATCCCGACCTGCGGGGAGTAGTTTCCCCGCCTGCCTCCCCCCGCCAGTTCTGCCGCCCCTTCCTGCGGCCTACGCCCCTCCTGACTCCTGGGGCGCCCCTGGATCCGAGACCGCCCTGCTCTGGGGCCGCCCCGTCGCCCAGCGATCCGCCGAGCGTTGATTGAGCGCCTGCTGGACAGGCCCTGCTGACCGGCGGTCCGAGCCGCCGCCGAGGGTCCGGGCCAGCAAGGGGGGCGGGGGCGGCGAACGGGAGGGAAGCCCCGCGGGGACTCAACTCCCAAAGGAAAGGACTCCTGGGACTTCAGTGCGTCTGGCACCCTCTCGGCCTCTCGCTCCGCGTTCGTTCGCTCCTGGCCGAGCGGCCTCGGGCACACGGGGCCCTCCGGGGCGCCTCTTGCCCGCGCGGGCTCCTGGGGGCGCGGCGGCGCGGGCCGCGGCTGCCGACATCCTGGGCGCCGACTTCCGGCACCCTGGGAACCCCCAAAGTGTCACTGGGAGGCGGGCACAGGGTGGAGCCAGCCCCCTGGGCTGCACCACCCACATGGCGGACCCAGATGAGCCCGAGGCCCACAGCTCCCCCTACCCCTCCCTGGACCCTGGCCGTCCCTGATGCCCGATGGCCGGGGCTGGGTGGGTTCCTCGGGCCGACTACCCCCTAGCCCCGTCTCACGCGGTCCTGGCCTCCACTGTCCCTGCCTGGAGGCCCTGCCTGGACGCCCTCAGGCCTCCTCTTCCTAAGCCCACTCTCCCATGTCCTCTGAGGTATCCCAACCGCTGCCTCCGAAGGGCTGTCCTGGTTATCTCCTGTCCTTGTTCCTCCCAGGGGCTCGGCCCTTCCAGGGCAGAGGCTGTGTGGCCTCCACTGCCCAGTTCCCAGAAGTGCCTGGCCGGCCTTGCCCCACGCCGGGTGGGCGGAGGCATCGGGTTGCGGTGAGCTTCCTCTTAGAGCTCTCCCAGAGGTGCTAGCCCTTCCCCGCACACAGCCCCAGGCCCCCTCCCAGGCTCCCACCCCTGGTCACGGTTCTCCCCCCAGGGCGCGGTGTCCTAGCTGGCTCTGGACCCCCAGGGTCTGCCCAGACGTTGCCCAGGGAGGCCTCACCCACCCCCATATCACAGAGTGGCTGTGAGGAAGATGGGAGGTTGCCCCAGACTTCCTGGCCCTGGAGATGTCCGGGTGCTCCCCAGGCCTCCAAACGGGGTAGGGGGAGGGGGTGCAGGGCCAGCCCCGCCCACCTTCCTTCTGCTTTTTCTCCCCAGTGGACTCACTTCCTGTCATCTCAGGCTGACTCTGCCCTCAGGAGCCTAGTGACACAACCACTCACCAAGCCCAGTGCCTCTTGTTTAGGTTATTGCCAAAGAACTGAACGTGTGAACGAGGAGTTGCTGCAGCAATGCCCTGTCCACGCTTCATTCAGCCCCGGGTCACTGCCACATTCCAAGACACCCCCCCCAGGAAGTCACTTTCCCTGCACTGGCATCGGGGCCGCTGCCAGCGGCTCTACCTGGAGGGGCCCTCATCTGCAGGAGCACATGGCACCAGGTGCTGATAAACACTCATGGCTCAAATTAATGCATGTGGCGGAGCCTGCGGGGTGAGTCTCAGGCCAGCCAACTGGCAGGGGCCCTGGTGCGGGCTCCAGAGTGTCACGGGGCCCAGAGGCAGGATGTGGCGGTGGAGCGGTGGAGAAAAGGGAGCACGGGGCTCCTGGCTGCCTTGCACTGGACATGATCCGCAAGCAGCCCAGGAGAGTAAGGGTGTTGAGAACCTGAGACAGGCCTGGGTGTTGTTACCTGGCTTCAGCTTTTCAAAGTAACAGCTTTATTGAGATATAATTCACATACCATACAATTCACCCACTAAAAGTGTGAAACTCTGGGGCTTTTAGCATATTCAGAGCTGTGCAATCATCACCACAATCGACTTGAGAACATTTCCATCTCCCCAAAAGAGGCTGTGTCACTCCCCATGCCCGCCCCCCAGCACCTGGCAACTACTAATCTGCTTTCTGTCCCTACGGATTTGCCTGTTCTAAACAATTTGCATACATGAATCACGCGAGATATTGTCTTTCATGCCTGCCCTCTTTCACTTGGCATAATGTTTTGAGGTCCATCTACATTGTGCCGTGAGTCACAACTTCATTCCTTTGTGTGACTGAGCACCACACCGTCATGCGTCTTCCATCGTACGCACTGACCACGTTGTCTGTGCGACGGACATTTGCGGCGCTTCTGCGTGTTGGCTGCTAACAATAATGTTGTGGGAACATCCATGTGCAGGTTTTTGCGTGAACGTATGTTTTCACTTCTCTTGAATACACACCTAGCAGTGCAATGAATGAGATCTAATGGTAATTCTCTGTTTAACTTTTTGACGAAGGGCCAGACTGTTTTGCACGGCCGCGGCTGCATCCATTTACATTCCCGGTAGTGTGTGAGGCTCCAATTTCCCCCCATCTTCCCCAACACTCGTTACTTCTCTTCTATACAGTTATCTGTGGGGTGTGAAGGAGCATCTTACTGTGGCTTGATTTGTGGTTCCCTGACAGCTAACAGTGTGAGCATCTTTTTGTGCGCTTGTTGGCCATTTGTAGCAATACGTTTTCTTTGAGGAAATGTCTCTTCAGACCCTTTGCCGTGGCCCAGAGTTTCCAGAGAGAAGGACTGAAGAATGGTGCCCAGCAGTTGGAGGCAGCAGCGGGTGGAGCACGAGCTGGCGCACCCTGACCCTCCCCCACCCCTGCCGGGCTGCGGGGCGGGCTCACAGGGGGTGTTTCCGGGCTGTGGCTGCTCCAGGCCGGCCGAGGTTTCACTTTTGGATCTGGGAACCTTTGGGTTGTGTGCTCACTCGGCAGCTCTGGGGCAGAGCCCTCCGATCCCAGCCAGCAGAGCGGCCTGGCTTCAGCTCTGTGGGCACGGGCACGCGACAGTCACGGTCACGGTGAGCTGCTCCCACACCCTGCTCCCCCCCCCTGCGCGCCACACCCCACTGCCTGCCCTGGCTCCAGGGTGGGGCTCTCCCTAGTGCTGGGTGCGGGGAGGCCAGCTCCTCTGGGTGGAGACCTGGTCCGGGCACCCTGCTGCGGCTTCCCCAAGCCCCCCAAGGACTCGCAATCCCAGACCGGTTTGGGGAAGCCCTAGGCCTCTGGGAAGGGGGTGCCCTCCCCAGCCCGGCTGGTTTGGGCTTAACTCCAGGTAGGCCCTCTAGGTGCTCCTTGGGCCACTCTCAGACTTCAGACCATCCCTGAAGCTCAGAGGCTTCCTAAGGGCTGGCCCCCGTGCCTGGAGCCCAGATGTCCTGGGTCCTGAGTCAGGCCCACATTGGCTTCTGACCCCTGACACAGACTAGTGGCTCACGGAGCTTCGGGCGCAGAGAAAGCCCTGGAGGACACGTCTAGGAGCTGCTGGGGACACTTTGGCTGGGCCTTACTGTGGGCCTTTGCACCAGCTGCCCAGGAAGTGATGGCTTCTGGTTCCTCCCCTCCCCTCTGAACACCTCAGCCCGTGGGGGGAGCTGCTACAGCAGACAGAGCAGTGGCTTGGGGTCACTCCAAGGCCCCAGCCTTGCCCTGCCCTTCCTCAGTGGCTGCTTTTCGTGAGCAGCCCTAAGCCTTGTTGAGGTGACAAAGGGACAAGAGGCCTTGGTGGGTGGCCAGGGCTGCCCCCCCGCCGCAAGCGCTGAGTCCCAGGGCTTTCTCGGGCTCCCTGTGGGCGCTCTGATCACAGAACAGATGGTGTGCGTGGCCTGAGTCCCACTGAGGGCTGTGAATGACGCCCCACCCTGGAGGTGCTCATGGCCCCTTGGAAAGATGGGTTAGTGGATGACTGGGTGCACTTCTGCTTGCTTCTGTGTTGGGTGATAGCAGCAAGCGCCTTCTGCCAGTCAGCATCCCAGGACTAGCCAAGCAGGACTGCTTTGGAGGGAAAGA